CTTTATATATTTGACTGTTGATGGTGCCGGTCATTATGAACGGCTTGCTTGGCCACCCACAGATCGCCTGCCACACTAAGTACTTCTTGGCAAATTTGTCAACATTCTTCTTCCGGAACTTCTCCGGAACATCCAGGCGGAACTTGCCGACGAAAAACTCCAGGCCGGGGATCTGCTTGGCGTTCGCTTTCATGTACGTCTCGTCGTTCATTACGATGCATTTCAGCTGCAACCACTCGCGGTACAGCTTCCTGGCACGGTATTTGGTCACCGTATTCTATTTATCGGTTCGGTAAGGTGCCTTCCTTCGCAAGTAACAATTCAGTAACCATTTGGCATCCACTCTGATTTAAAATAGTTTTATATCGGCAATGAACAATCCATTTGGTTTAAATACAACATTTCAAAGTATAAAACATTCCTGCTTAGTAATTCAGCTTTTTGCTATTTTAAAAACCTTTTATAGTCTGGCAAGAAAGTAAAAAACGCGTTGCTTTAAAAATAAATTTAATACAGTTCTCAATCCCTCCTTAAAACTGTTCTATAATTCAAGCATAAACGTCATTAGCAATGAATAATTAATGTCTTGATCAGTCTTGTAAGTGGTCACCGTAGTCGACATATTTTCTGTAATCATCGACTGCCTTTGCTTCCGACACTTCCAAAACAAGCTATCAAATTACAGTACCAAACTAAAATGTCATATGACAGCTCTGTCATACGACACTGTTGCCGAAGACCGTCATGAATGTATGTATTTTAGTTTTTCTCATAATAAGAGCTGCTGATGGTGGGCTTGAGTCAATTCTGAAAGTATCAAGCAACGATGTCCTAGTAATAAAATTTTTGATCAGAAATGGTTTAATTTACACCTAATTGAGGAATTAGAACGAAATCACACATTGATATATGATAGTTATTATGAAAATTTTCTTTTTGCTCGAATGTTGTTCTACCGTTTGTGTTGTGTAAGAGAGACGACGGTAGAGCATGAGAGTACGAATAAAAACAGACTGTCGCGCATGACAACGAAGCGACCCAGACAACCAGAAGTCGAATAATAATGTACAGACAGTATCGTAAATTGCTACAGTTTAAGTAAAAATCGCATATTAGAATGGCATACCTCGCATTATGTTTAAGTTAAATCGTATAGAATGCAAATTTCCAACTTATATGCGATGACTCATTTTTCCGTCGTACTGTATCACAAATTTAATCGGATTACATCGTAAGACTTTTCAAAATGGATTTGTTATTACGGATCAAATCGCATATGATGTTAAATCAACTCGTTTAAAATTAAACGAAAATATGCACGTATATGGCCTAAACTTTTGTACGTATAAGCCATTTCTTTGCATTCTATACGACTTGTTTGTTTGTATATATGTTTGTATATCACGAAAACAACTTTAAATATACGTGCATTCTGGTTGTCTGGGGAGTGTCGTAAAAAACGTCACCAGTTTCAACCCCTGGTCTTGATATAATACTTTAAAAAATAAATAATTATAAAAGCAACCATAAATCCATTAGGTTTTGCATTAGAACAAAAAGCATTTATTGTTGATTTTTAGGCTTTTTAAAGTGCATCATAAACTCCTCTGTTTACAAAATGAACTTAAATGATGGTTTATCATAGTTAATAAAAGCCAAATTTATGACAAGGAAATCTCGAAGGATAGACGAAGAAGGATGAAAATTTCAAGTCGATTTCATCAAAATTTACTTCTTTAGAAGAACCAGCACTCCATCAACCACTGACCATCTGGCGGAGAAGAGCAAACTGAGCGGGGCCCTCAAATTCATAAAACATTGTCGAAAGTTTAAAAAAACATACCAGCCTTCTCGAGATCTTGCGAAAAGATGACAACCGACAGCAAACCACTGAAACTGTTAGCTAGCATAGATTAACTGGTTTCCGATCCATAGCAGCGATTTTATTCGGCGAAAGAATCAACTCTTCGAAAATTTCATTCAAGCGTACATCCCTGCATCGTTGGATGGTACACTTCTGTAACCATCCGGAAGAAGGGGATCTTTTTTGGAAACGTTTGCGCTTCCAGTTGTTCGAAATGCAAAATGTTGCAAAACATTATCGCAAACTATCTGAGTAATTGCTCACAATCGATCGGGAGAAAACTGCCTGGAAGCTGGATCCCATAGCGCAACTATCGAAAGATAAACAAACTTTGACGTTTAACTTTTTGCAGGCAACTTTACCTCAATAAATGCTACCATGAATCTGAAAGGGTTAGGATCAAGCAAAATAGCTTTAGGTAAATACAATTCAGCCTGCAAGTTTTCTTCATAAAAGCCATTTAAAACTTTATGAATTTGTTAGGGATTTCTTGAAACCAAAACAAATTTTTTAACAACCCAACTAACATTTACAGCTTTATAAGCAATTTTTTCAGCATTTTGCTTTAAAGTAGCAGATACAGTTACAAGCAGAATCTAGCAAAATAGTTTTGGAAAACGTTTACTCAACTTTTTCTCAACCATTATTCAATTTGTCAGTCGCACTGAATAACAGCAGCCAATAATCGCTAATGTCACTTCTATGCAAATATTAATCAACTTTCAAATTGTAGCTGCAAAACAAAGCTAATAAATAGAATATATTACTCATTCTACATGGCTTCTACACAACCAACCACTCTTACTGAATAACATAAACATCAAAATTGCTTTTTCAACAACTAAACAACCTGTACTCAGCTAATAAACTGTGTTAGCGCTACTTTGGAAGTATTTTTACAGTCAACTAGCTTTATTTTCAGACGTTTGCAGTTTTACAGCTTTTATTCTGCTCTTTTACAAAGCTGAATAAACAAGTCGAGAAAGTGATTCATGGGCACTATTATAAAGCCACTACTCAGCGATCTTGTTGTAGCAGGTCATGTGGATTTGTTTACGTCATTTAAAACTGTTGATGTATCGAAGATGGCAGTGTCAAGGTTTGTCAATGCGGTCGTCTTGATTTCGAATCCAGGTTCCGGTGCAGGGTAAGAGTTTGGTGCCTTTAACTGATTTCGAGTAATTTGATTCGCAGCTAAATCAAATCAATAAATTCCTAATTCCTCCATTAAATACAGCAAACAATATCTAACACGGCTTCAAGATAAAGCTGGGTAGTGATTATTGGATAGTCGGGAAGAGTTTGAATAAACGCCTTTCAAGTTCACACACAACTAAACAGCACAATAACAGCTCTGTATAGAAGCGTAAATTAATATGCAATAAAAGCTTGTCACAATCGTCCCAAAAGCCATAAGTAACTGTCTAAGTTTGCCAGATTTGCTTGTATAGAGGTTAAGTGAAGGTTACCTCATATCGTATAGCATTTGAATACAGCTTGAGGCTGTATAAATGAAATGAGGAAAGCTTTTACAATGTGAAAATTGTTAGTTGGGAAATGACCCATGGAAATTAACTTTCGTGCCATCACCATGTTACAACTAGTTTGCTTGTTTTTTACAATCTTCGATTTTCAACCTATATTTCCTTGGATATAACTATATTTTGGTAAATTTAGCAACGAGCAAACATTTAAATGTAAAAATCATAAAAAAATCTCGGCCAAGCTGAAGATTTTTTTTTTTTTTTCAATGGTAAATAATTAGTCAAATCGACGTTTTACGAGGGTGGACTTAATTATTTCGATGTTTTCACGTACATTTCACATAAAATTTATTATGGCACTAGTTTTAGGCCACTTAATGAGAACTATTGTAATAAATTTGGATATTCAACAAGACTTTTATACCATCAGTTTCTATTTTAATTATTTTGATAAGATCGGATTCATAAATCCTTTTCTATCTTGATTGACGCTTTCCTAGTGGATTCAGCTTGCGGCTAGGGGAAATGGCTCGGAAAGGGTTTTTATTGTTGCTAAATAGCTTGTATTGTAGCTTTCAAATGGTTCTCAATGCGTTCGTCATACAACCTTTTGCAGTAAATCAATCTTGACGAGCTTCGAGAATACAACCTTCAGAACCTTCTCCAGGGTGGGCCAACTAGACATATTCTAGTCTTAATGAAGTTTTGGTAGATGTATTAATGACAAAATAGCCTTTTATGAATGTTGTTTTATAGTTGCTTTGTAGTATTCCATTAAACTTTAAATGTTACTTGGATTACCTTGAGCATGAGCATGAGCATGATTGACCCTCCACGGTTGCTACTATGTTATTGCCAGATCAGCTGTAATTACACAGAGAACCAATAGACGATACTTGGGACTAGCAATCATCCGCAATGTGTAAAAACTGGTGATCTCAAATTAGGCAATTCCAGCCTAATTTATTCAAACTCGAACTCCACTGTGGTGCCCTTTACACAAGAATCGGTTAAGCGTCTTCCTTACCTTAAAGCCATGAAGTCCGGCCCGCTTCATTGTCTGCTGGACGAACCAGATGGAAGAATTGACCTTCTTTGCCACGTCCCGAAATCGAAAGGTTCGGATTGCGCTTGAAGTAATCCCTCACCTTCCTTGCGTTCACGGGGTCGGTCGTCTTCGCTTTTTTACACTGCCAGCTCGCCGCTGGGTCGTCTTGCTTCTAAGTCATCTCGATAACCACTTGACCGATTGTAACGAGATAGTGTCCCTTATACTGAGCCCATACATGAATTTCGCAGGACAGAATGTATTGAAAAGTTACCACTAGCAACCAAAAATATCAAATTGTATTATCCAGATGATGCATTGTTCTAAGAAAAATTTAAGAATAAGAGATTATTATCGATGGGCTCAATCTTTAGATTGATATGCCAACATAAGAGCTATTTCCCTTTGTGCTAAAAATCACTGTCATAAAGCATAACAAAAATGAATAAATATGAAAATAAATATTAAATTGGTACATGTATTCATCAATTATACACGAAATAAGTTAATTTAAGTCTATGATATGACTGCTACCTAAATCTACAAATAAGAAAAAAACAACTTACCCAATGACTAATTTCTTTCCTCCGCCACCATCCCGCAGAGAGACCCAAGACAACCCAACCCAGCTGAGCATGTTCCAACCGGAAGCGATAAAGCAAGCCCCCTTCGTTCTGGACCGCCCGCTGATTGTCCTAATTCACGGCTACACAGGTCACCGCGATTACGCACCGAACACCTCAATCCGACCGGCCTACCTGGCGAACGATGAGTTCAACATCATATCACTGGACTACAATCCACTGGTGCTCGAACCGTGCTACTATCAAGGTGTGCGGAACCTTCCAACGGTGGCAAACTGTACCGCGCAGCTGTTGGATTACATGATCGGCGAAGGGATGTTTACGCTAGATGACATTCACGTGGTGGGATTCAGCCTGGGAGGTCAGACGTCCGGCATGATCGCCAATTACATCAAATCAGGGAAGTTGAAACGCATAACCGGCTTGGATCCGGCCAAACCACTCTTCATCACCGCGCCCAACGAGTACAAGCTGGATCAGTCAGATGCGGAATTTGTGCAGGTGATTCACACGGACGTGTTTGCGAGGGGAATTTTGCATCCCAGCGGGCACACGGATTTCTACGTGAACGGAGGAGTGGAACAGCCGGGCTGCCATGCACAGTCTATTATGACCACCGGAGAGTGCAACCACAATCGAGCGCCGCAGTATTACGCGGAATCGATCGCCACGGAAGTCGGATTCTACGGGTATAGGTGCGCCCATTGGTACCTCTATATGCTGGGTCTGTGCAACGCCAACGATGAAACCATGATTGCCCTAATGGGAGCACACACGCCAGCCACGTAAGTATACATGATGATCGGGTGAGTGCGGTTCTTTGTTTTTCTTTTTATTGGATGCAGTCAGTCACATTTGCAGCTCCTGAGGTGGTGTGCTCTGATGTAGCTAGGGGAGAACTGTACAGAACGCACCCCTGGGGCAGAACGCACGAATCAGATTTTTTTTTTAATTCATTTTTGGCAACGAAATTTAGGAATTAGCAGGGAAAATTTCATGTTGATACTCAGAAGTGCTCGACAGAAGCCTGCAATAGTTATGACACATTAATTGCAAACGCAAATGACACATTCCACCAGGATGTATTCACGTTTCTACCCGGATTTTTTAATAGTTTTTGTACTGTAACTGAAAAAAAAAATGAAAAGTATTCCTCAAATATTATTGCAGATTTGGAAAGTGTGATACATTGCCAATTAGAATTGATTATGATTTAAGTTGCTCAAAATAATTTGATGAGCGACTTTGTTACGTGACGTTACTACGTTTTGCACTTCTTAACTACACTACTCAACAACTACTCACCAACACGTTTTGAGCTACTCATATCAGTAACTCTTGATTAATTTTCAAATCTGCAATAATTGTTAAAGGCTAATTTTATTTATTTTTTCAGTCACAGAACAAAAACAGTAAATTAAAACCATTGTAGAGTTACGTATAATGTGTCAAATGAAAGACAACTGGTACGGATGATCCCACTTGTGCGTTTTGTACAGATCTCTCCAATTGCTGTTGCAAGCACCACGGTGGAGTCACAGATGATGCACGCGCAGTTACTATGTCGGCATTGCTTGAATTGCTGTCCACTTATCTGGGTTATTTGGAAAAGCAGACTTGAGATGTTTGAAATCGTTGTATCGTGTTTGGTCTCCTTTGAATTTGAGAATTTTTAAAGAAATTGTAGTTTTACCTTTTTTTTCGTACAAGTAGGAGTAACCTACAGTGGGCTAAAATATCTCGTTAAAAACATTTAATTTCAGAGATATGATTAAAACAGCTAAGTTTATGTCTAACGTTTACAAGAAAGCATTACGCCGCGGATGCACTTGTGTGACTAACTATGAGCATGAGCATGCGCCACTTGCGTTAAAATCAAAAGCCTTGTAAAATATTTACGTATTTGAAAAAAAAATCATTCATCAGTTCATCAGTTCACAGATAAAAATTCGGAATTTTAATAGTGATGTAAACATTCATTCACGTAAACTTATATTTCATTTCACGCAACCGAGTAACTTGCAAACAATATTGTTTACAACAATAGGCTTTTGTATACAATATTTGCTACATTGCATGAAATGTCTCAGAACTTTACATGCTATATAATGTAACTTTATATGATATGTGACGCTCAATTTAAGTGCATCATACTGAACAGAAATTTACACTACTTTTTTGACCTGTGTTGGTCGTATTTTATACGATTTTTACGTGGTACATATCAGAGAACTTCAGAACAGTTCCATTAATTTACGAAAAACTGCAGGAACTTTTAGATATTCTGATATATTCAGGAATATTCAAATCTCTTTAAAGCAATCTAGTCAACTTCAGGGAGCTTCGAATACTTCAGAGATGTTCCAAGAACATCCCAATTTTTTCTAAGACTTATTTTAAGGAACTTTCTACGTTTTTCGATAGAATTTAGCTATAATAGTACAGAAACAGATTTCGCATTTTTATCTGTTTCTTTACTATTGTTTTTAATTTAATAATTAATAATAAAAGTCAAGACCTTTATTTTAAAAGTAAAAAAAGACATTTCATTTGAGATTCTGTTCAAATATATGTATTAAAATTCTTCGTAGAGACCAAACACACAATACGATATTAAAAATATCATATACATACACACAATAAATCTTCAAATCAAGATACTCTATAATATGGATATTTTCAGAACGGAACGATCTGTAGATGCTGAAAACCGAATTCATCGTGGTGGTTCTCGGTTTAAAAAAAAACTATCATATACCCTACAATATGGATATTTTCAGAACCGGCGTAATATGTCGAAAAACTATGTCCCATACATTTTTTTTTAATCAACGATGGTGGCCATTGATTTAAGAAATACTGTAAAATGCTCTACAATATGGATATTTTTGGAACGAAAACGACGAATCGGATTTCCAAAATGTTGTATTCCAAAAATGATTATCCATCTATTGTAGGGTATTTGATAGTTTTATAAACAAGGGGCTGCCATCGTAGATTTCAAAAATTAATCGGAAATCGATTTGGGGCCTCTACCCATTCCAACAACTTTTCTGTTTATCTGTAACTGGAAGCCGCTATCTTGGAATTTAATATCGCATTGGAATTTAATATGGCCCGGAGCAGGTTCTTAGCGCTCCGGAGAAAATGGACAATTTCGAGCATGACTGGATCCATGTTAATATGGATGTCATACTTTAAGATTTTACATGCCAACACCAGTAGCAGTTTCATCAGGTAAGTAACTCGCCATAGCTGCCTTGTAGCAGGTTCTGGATGCCTTGGGAGAAGTGGCCAATTTGGAATATGACCGAAACCATATCAATATGGCTGTCAAACTTCAATATTTTGCATGCCAATGCCAATGAAGGTATGTATTTTCATGTCCACAGCACACCATGGCTACCCTCAAGCAGGTTCTAGATGCCTTTGTTCCCAAAGGTTGCCAATTTGAGACATGGCCGGAACCATATTAATATGGGAACCAAACTTCAAGATTGTGCAAACCATTGCCAATGGTTGATTTTCCATGTCCACAGCTTGTCATGGTAACCTTAAAGCAGGTTCTGGATGCTCCGGGGAATGTGGCCAAGATTTTGCGAACCAATGTCAATGGTACATTTTTCGTCTCCCCAGCTTACCCCAATTACTCTGGAGCAGTTTCTGCGTACCCCGGGGGAAGTGGAGAATTTATTCATCCAGAACCTGCTCCAAGGTAACCGGGGCAAGCTGTGGACATGGAAAATCAACCATTGGCAATGGTTTGCACAATCTTGAAGTTTGGTTTACCGAAACCGATTTCAAGGAAATGGCTAGATCTCGTTTGATTCTCAACAGATCTTGAATCTGTGGCTAACATTGAAATCAAAATTGATTCTAGTATCAGGAAAAATTTTGAATGAAAATAAATTTTTATACAAGAAAAATATACAAGCGATGAAAAAATCAGTTTTTGACATACTCTTCAAATTCCCCGGGGAATGCATCTGGCTACATTAAAATTGGTTTATTTTTCGAAAATACAAAACAATTTTCCCCGATAATTTTGCCTATCACCTGTCTCACTTTGTGAGATCGAATCGGATAAGGAAGTTTAAAGATTTCAAACACTTCAGGGCAGTTTCATGTACTAGATGAAAATCAACTAATATCGCTACACTGCATTTTACGAATTTTACGCGAAATTCAAGACACTCAATAAAACTTCAAGTAGGTTTAAAGATCTTTTGGAAAGATCAGAGAGCTTCGGGAATGTTCTGAGAACTTCATAGCAGTTCCATGAAAATACGAATAATTGTGGGGATTTTATGGAAGCTAATTTAAGTTAGATTTCGAGTACTTCTTGGCCAACTTTTGTTTTTAATTGCATTTTCGGTATTTTAATCACTGCAACCGTTACTTTGATGTATTGTAATATTCCGGTACAATAAAATACCTTTTAAAAAAAAGCAAGTATTTCAAGAACAAAGTCCATGAAACTTCTAAGAAGTTTGGAAGTCCGGGAAATTCGAAAAATATTGAAAGCATTCCATAAGTATGGAATGGTTTAACATCTGAATTAATTGACATATCATGAATTCTGAGATCCGTACAAAATTTCTGAGAATTTCATGAAAAATCCAATGATTTAAAAAATCCGCAAACATCAGGTTAGATCCGAGAACTTAAAGAACCTTTAGAACTTCGGGAAGTTTTAAAATCTTTTAAGGATGGTTGCGATAGATTTCATAGATTTCTGAAAAATTGCGAGAACTTCATTGAAGATCAGAGAGCTCTAGGGTAGGTCAACCTGCCTTCAGCCAAATTGTAGGAACTTAACAGAACGTGTCAAAACTTTAATTGAGTTTAAAGTTCTTAAGGGAAGATACGTGAACTCCGGAACGGTTATGATAACTTAATATCAGTTGCATGAATATCAGAAATTCAAGGAATTTCCTAGAACTTCTGGTTGATTTAGAAAACTTTAGGTCAGTTCCATTAAATTTCGAAATATGAGGAGAAAATTAAAGAAGTTCAAAAAACTAAAGTTGGTCGAAAGAACATCGCGGAAATTAAGAGAACCTAAGCAACAATTCTGAAACTTCCCAGAAGTTCCGAAAAGTTCACGGAAATACAGAAAAGATCGTGAAGATAACATCTCCCAAGTAACAATTTGGGTTTTATGAGGGTTCTGTATACCATGATTTTGACATGTAGAATGCTTAAAAACCACATTAAAACTGGCAATGCTCTTAGGTTACTTTCATTTTCGGGCGAAGAGACGAACCAGTCAAAGATTGAAAATCTCTACAATAGAGCAGTTCCACGCCGAATCGAAAAAAAAAAAATCGATCTTCTTCGATTTTTAGCAAAGCAAGCTTTGCATTATTTTTTTGAATAAATAACTCTTAGTGTGAATGACATCAAAACTAAAAAAATATCATGAAAAATGCAAAAAAATATATGTTTATTATTTTTTTATGTAGAGCCATTTATTTTTACATGCTCAATTAAATATTTACAGAGCCAAGCTATCAGTTGCGTTATACATTATTGATGTATTAAATCTTATTTAGGTTCCCTTCCTTAGGTTCTCTGTCTTAATGTTCTCAGAGCTTCTTTCAATTCTCATGAAGTTCTTCGTACGGTCCTGAATTTAATGGAACTGTGCTGAAAACATTTAAATTTCCCTTACGTTTTCTGAACTTCTATGAAGTTCCCGAAATATTTTTGATGTTTTCTTAAGTTCTCTGTAGTTCTCTGGATATGCCCGTAATTCCCGAAACTTCTAAAGGATGTTCGAAATTTTCTAGAAGTTAAGGGATGGGTCTTGAATCTATTCGAAAAAATCCTTACTGATGTGGACTTTCATTAAGTCTTCCTTAAAACCATTTTCTCAACCTTTCTGAAGTTCTCGTAACTTCCCTAAAATTCTCTGAACATCCCTGAAGTTCTTAAAACTTCTTCCAAGTTCCTGTACCGTTTATTAATTTATTTGATAAGACTCAATCGAATAAACTTTACAACGCCAAGGGGCAAACAAAACTATACAAACAATTGTAAAACTATAGTCAAAAGATGCAACACAATAAACACTATGCTATCCAATAAGCGTCCTTCATCAGAACGGTATCCTCTGTCAGTGGTTTCATTGTATGGCAGTATCACCAACGGGGGGCAGAGTGGTTCCATTGCAGCAAAACGTGGTCATCACTCACACACTCATCACAAAACGGTTGCTTTCCAAAGTCGACGACGCATCGACTGAAAGAACTGGTGATGAAGAACAATGAGGAGGACCACACAATGGTGGCTGCCAAGTAAACAGACGATCGTGTGGCACACATCGAGAGTGGTCTGCTTCTGTCAACAGTCGGTTGAACACTGAACAAAGTTCCTGTAGTTTTGCTGAAGCTAATAGAACCGACTTGATTTTCATGAAACTTTTCTAAACTTCGCAGAATGTTCCAAAAATTTTCAGAACTTCCTTTATTTATTTTTTATGAAACTTCTCTAAAATTTTCTACTTCCTTTCCTCAGAACTCCTTTAAGGTTCTTACATTTTTTGTGAAATTAATGGGACTACCCTAGAGATCTCTAATCTTTCCTGATATTTATAGAACTTCCCTCAAGTTTTTGCTATCCTGATCATGTTCCTGGAAATACCCTCTAATTAATGGAACTGCCCTAAAGATCTAAAAACTTCCTTGAAGTTTTTTTCACTTCCGTGAGTTTTTTGGATGTTCTATGAAGTTACCGAAATTTTTCTTAAGTTTTCTAAATTCCCTTGAAGTTATTTGGACTATCTTTATATTTTTGAACTTATTGAAGGCTTCCGCTATTGTCCGAAAATGAATGGAACTGTTCAAACACTTCTCGAAATTAACCTAAAGTCCTCGGAAACTTTCCTGAAGTTCTCGCATTTTTCCAGATATTCATGGAACTGCCCTGAAATTTTCAGAATTGTTCCAAAGTTTACTGAAAAGTTTATGCATAATTCCTGAAGTTAATAAACACTCCGAATACGATACCTCCGAAAAACGTGTAATGGCAAGTTTGCAATAGCATAACTTAGCCATTTCTTATTGAATTCCAAAAAATTGTGGAACTTCTAGAATCCCTAGGGTCTGTAGATTAGTTTGATTGAAAAAAGATTAAAGATATGGTCATCTACTTTATTGAAAAGCGAAAAGTGTCGATACACGTTTTTTAAAAGGAGTGCTCTAGGATCAGGGGTTTATGGATAGACCACTTTTACGGATGTTCGCATCTTTCGAGGACCGTTCCGTTATCTCCAGGTTCCATATATAGGAACCATGCCTGTATTCTGCCTAATTATGAACATTTACGCCCTTTTTATATAAATTATGGATCTTAAGCCACTTGCAGAACCCATAAACACACCTTAAAAATAAAACGTATAACGTCTCTTTTCGATTTTGAAAAAGTAGACGACCCTATTTTCAATCTTTCTGTAGTTAAAATAATCTACAGAGCCTAGGAATTCTAGAGGTACCACAATTTTTGAAATTCATCAAGAAATGCTTAAGTTTTGTCATTGCAAACTTACTGTTACACGTTTTTCGGAGGCTTCGTAGTCGGTGTAAAGTATTTTAACCACCGTATTCGGAGTGTTAAACTGGCTTGCAGCTCAGTGGTCTTCTTAAAAAAGAATGTTCCAGAATTTATTGGGACTATCGAACATTTGAGGGCATATGCACATAAGGAGTCCAAATAAAATCAAACAATTTGTACCTTCTGGGCGCATCAAATTTTATATAATACTATTCTAATTAATTTTACTAATTCACAAATGGAACAGGCATCGAAAGCTCTCAATTAATAACTGTTGAAGTTCATCGAGAACACAAGGTTGAGAGCACGCAATAAGCTAATACGTTATAAGCATTAAGATTGAAATGCGAGGAAGAAAAAGAAGACGCCTGCAGTGCAATGTTGCTCATATGAGCGCATAGTAAACTGGATGGGCATGCAACAATAATCTGATACATTTTGATGCGTATCTTTACTATAAGTAGGCAAGTTGATTGATATTTTTGCACCCCGTTAATATTATTTAAATAATAAGAATAATAGTGAACGGTTTTCGGGCTGGTGACTCTTAAAGTAGCAATGAGACAGGCCTGATATTAACTCCAGATCATTGAAAATTTATGAGATTTAAAAAAAAAAATATAATGCGATGACACCTCAAAACATTATTTCAAGCACAGCGATCAATCAATACGCAATAATATGTAACTTCCATCTAGCTTCGCCTATGTCTGCACGTAGAAACAACATAAGTAGCCTCATTTGTATGCATCACATTTACTCAGAGCAAGCACTTCCTACTACTCCCTTTTACTTTCGATAAATATCACTGTAGGAGGTTGCAGAAACTTGTTTATGCAATCTAGAAGTGACGTAGACGCGGAAAACCCATTTACTATCGTCCGAAAAGCTTCAGTGCTGTGATGCCGACAGATTCACAGCTGCCCTACTTTTTTTTTCGCATTCATGAGCAGCTCAATCTTAGCCAAGTGCGCGGCATAATCAGTCATTACCGTTTACAATCACTGCTCCTTGGCAGTTATATCGCTTTAACAATCTGCGGCTACCACCCCTATTGTGAACTGTACTGGTTAGTTGACAGACTTTTATTAGTGCTTCGGTTGTATCGTTTGCAAAATTTTTTTCCTCTGCTCTTCGAAGGTTATTATTTCCTTTGAGTGGTGCCTCTCTGGTGACTGGCACTCATTCACTTTTAGCTTAACACTTCTCAGAAAAAAAATGTTACCAAAGATTAATAATGCTGTGATTTATCACTTAATGGCAAAACTCAACGAGGTCGGTGAGCAGAATTGGAAAACAAATGGATTTATTTTTCAGTGTAGACTTGTGTAACATTTTTTACGTTTATGTCATCACCAATTTATCAACTTTCATTCTCCTTTCTATTCCAGAACGCGTGGCCTGTACTTCCTGAATGCCAACATGAATCCACCGTACGCTCAGGGCAAAAACTTTTCCCTTAGAGATGAATTTCCCATGCCAGGGTAAGACGTAGAGCACTATAATTGTAATATGGGATCAATAAAAAAAACCGAGCTAGCCAATTCAAACAACTGCTTGATGCAATGTGCCTTCTTATTGCTTTCACACCTCCCAATGCCATATGACCGCTGACGTGTATTTCCATGAAGGTCCAATGCAATGTCCGTCGAATATGCCAATAAATGAACTCCGAGAGCACAGGAATGAATGACCGAGCACTTTTGTTTTGTGCCGGTTACTTACTAACATACACCGGTTGATTGGCTGGCAGGTGCGTTATGGGAGATTGCATATCGAGCACTGCACGCAGTAAGAGTGACGAACGCAATTTCAGAGCTTCATCCGGCGCGCGGCTTCAGTTGGATCGAATGAACTACGGAGAAACTATGTGAAGGTAAGTCGTTTACCACTGGCTGGTGTGTGGTCAGTCTTAGGTTGTTTTTTTTTTGGGACAGAGAACGACAAACCCGAGAACTACGAGAACTGCCGCAACAAGTGTTCTATAGATTCTAGTAGCTGCAGGTGGTTGACCTCTGAGTAAAGCAATAAGGAAGTCGGTTTTATGTGGCCATCAAGATGCTGTGTGTAAAGGTGATTAAAAATTCGTTAATTATGCATCATCTAGATGAAATTCAGATGTTAATTTAAATATGGAGGCATTTAAAGTGATGCGATGGTGTGAGGTGATGGAAGCGGAGAAAACAAAATAATTGCTTGATTCCCACGAACCAATGTGTTCATGGCTGATAACAGATAACTCGGTATCTCACATTGTACTCAAGTTCAGTGTTAGATATTATTATGAGGCTTTTTGCATATGGTGAATTGACCCTGACGGAAAAGAATGCATTTTTCTATGGCATTGCAAATTTAGATAATCTGGTAATTTCCTGTGAAAACATTTTGTTGTTTTGAAAACCGATCATCAAACGATAAATGGTGTCAGGCTAGTGTGAACACGATTCATCTTTCTGTTTGGGTGCCAATGAAAATGGGCACCTTGAATTTCCAAAACCGACCATGTGCAAAATATTTATTACCTCGAAAAAATGCCATACATGCAAAACTTGGGCTCAATCGGCCATGACTTAAAGGTGGCGCAAAGTCGACAAAGTTTGAGTTTGAAAATCGAAAAATCACCAAAGAAGGGGTACATGAAATTTTGGTTTTCGTAATATTTTATTCATGACAAATGACAAAAAATTGCATGAAACTTCGAATTTCTGGGCATTTTTGCGCTAGTTAGAAGCAGGATATGGATCATTGATGCAATGGCTTCTAAAACTATTCACAGCAATCTCCAATTTACTTGCATATCATTTTATAGCATAACTCGCATCTAATACGTGATGCTTCACTTTGGTTTCCTTAGGGTGGCCCTTTTCATTCTTAAAACTTCAAAATACACGCAATAATAATAAGTTATGCATCTAGATTTACCATGTTGTTTTGCGTGGACCTTAAAGGTGGACTGTAAACATTCAGGGATTTCTTTATTGCTCTTCTTGGTGTTCTAACAAGATTACGGTGTTACCCGGTCTGGTTAGGAGCAACAGAATGTTAGTCGAAATCTGAAGTAATAATGAATTGATTTATTGTTGGGTTTATATACATGATTGTTTACAGGTGTGACTTCGAAATAATTTAATGTTTCAATTAGAGCAAAAGGGTTAGACGTATGGAGTGAAAAATTGTTGTAGCATACAAAATATGAATGGCACCAACTCGGAAGTCGTCAGTCTACAAGCATATCCCAACAAACATTCGCCTATTGGAGAAACGACTTCTTGACGCTTTTTATTCAACGGCTTGCTTTATAATTGGTACTTGTACATTTTTTAATAATAACTTCTGTTAAAGCTTTGTTCACACAAATCTGGAGATTTTATTCAACCACAACATGGTGTTGGTTGAGGTATGTCTTTATCTTTATCTTTTTTTTATTAAAGAGACTTTCAGAGGTTGAGGTATGTCGAGAAGCTTTTATATGACTTCCATGTTTTATTATTCAGCGTTTATTGGGCATCTTTGCTTCCTTAAACAGCTATGATGTATACGCTTGATTATCAGATATGATGTATACACTTAATTTTGATGTATACGCTTGATACGCTTGAAGTAACGTTTAAATGAGACACTATTATAAATTTATTAAACGATTATTCAACTGCAGGAAAATTAACCCGAAAATAAAGTACGGTAGTAGAGACCGACAGAGCTGTCTTTTATTTAGTGATTGATACTAGAAAATTTATTACTACATATACACAACATGAGCGTTACATTCCTAGTAGCACACTTGTCGCAAATCGGTGGTAGAAACTTCTATACGACTTATTTAAGCCACAAACAAGTTGCTGCAACTGATTGTGACGAAAGTGTGCTACTCGAGATTGGTTTCGAACCATGTACCTTCCGATCACCAACCGCTTGCCTTGCCATCTGAGCTATCCTAAAATACATCATATGGGCTGCTCAATATTCAATAAAAGCTTGCTTGAAACTGAATACTTATCAGCACTCCCTATCGTCCCAAGACCAATGGATCATATCATTTCCTGCCACTCGAACTTTAACGTGGAACAAATTTTTTGATATTTTTTCATCTACAACCTCGAGAAAATAGGGTCTTATTTGTAATATGCTTGAAAAATTAGGAATTTATTGTTTCATTTCCGTAAAATCACTGGTAGAAGTTTGTCTCAAAACTGCTCGAAAATGTGATTAATTCTATCTCTTCACCTCTCCAATTTTCAAGGAAAGGATGCTGGGTTATTTACTGAATTTGTTGTCGTGAGTGATGTGATCGATGATTAAGATTTAGAAAACAAATAAAAAATGGGTTGAGCTTGGAATTGAACTCGCGAGCTTCTACTTGGAAAGTGGAAACGGTATAGTTTTCTTGCATTTCATCTTCTTGACAAGACTGAACCAGTGTAGTGGAATAATCAATCTAATACGTCGTTTAAAGCATTTAAAAAGCATCAAATGCTGTGCTTAATCATTTATTATTAGTACAGAGCAATAAACAATCTACGGTAATGATTAATCTGTTAATATGCTTTTATAAGTGGATTCAAATACACTTGTGGTAAGCATCAACACTGATCTGGCAACACTAGTGGGCATCTTTTCAATGTGGTAAAGATCCAGATCAGCCCTGGGACCTGGTAGCCTAATTAAGCTACCTCAAGGTTTTGCAAAAGCCCAGGGACTAGGTCATTATCATAAGATTGAGGATACAATATAAAACATCCAAAAAATGCAGCTAAAATAGATTCAGATCCATATTAGTACATGTAACCCTTGCCACCTAGTTTGACAATTCAGAACTTCTACACTGCAGTGTTGGCCTTTGTAATTTAAACAACATTGCAGAAGACCACATTCTTCTATCTAACACATATCACGACATCTTTATTCTATAAAAAAGGATAAAACGAAATTTTCTACAGACACTGACACCACCTATGTAGTGGTAAACGTGGTTGTCTCTCACTCCGAAGGGCCTGGGTTGCGATCTTACACGTAATATCGATTGGAAAAAGTTCAATGAATGTGATAGAATATACTCTAACGTCACAGAAAGGCTTCCACCGTTGGAGGAATATAACTTCATCTCCAATCTGATCTTAGACAGCGCGCTTCAAGCGCAAACTCGCCCGGTTCCAGGAACGTCTTTCCGTAGGAAACCTCCTCCCCCTTGGTAGGACCAGAACTGCACTGAGGTTTATCGTAAAAAAGTCTGACGCATTTATGCTTCTCCGGAAACGTGGAAAACCCGTACATTTCGAAGCGTATTCGGTTCTTGAAAGCGAACTCAAGAGCCAAGAAACGCGGATACTGGCGGCAATTCGTGGACGGATTATCGCGCGAACCGTCGATGAAGACGCTTTGGAACGCGGCGCTAAGGATGCGTAACCGGTCTTCAAACAACGAGAGCGAGGAGTACTCGGATCGTTGGATTCTCAAGTTCGCGCGAAAAAAGGACACACTTATTCCGTGCTGGCACGGATGATTCCTCGCGAAACGACGAATTGGGTAGATGAGATCAGCCAGCCCTTTTCAATGGTAGAGCTCTCACTCGCGCTCCTTTCGTATGGCAATTCGGCTCCGCGGGCTGATAAGATCAAGTTCAACTTTTCTCATGGAAACTCTACAGCTTCTCGATTTAGCTACATGGGTCTCCCCCAGGGCTCATGTTTCTACGTCCGAGAAATTGACTAAGTAACAACTACACGTTGAGACAATTTGCAAATGATGGCGTAGTGTCTATGACAGGGCCCAAAGGAGTCTACTCTTAGACAATTTGTCTACTTGGGCTATCCAGCTAGGTATCGAATTCTCCACGGAGAAAACTGAGTTGGTCGATTTTTTTCTAGGAAGCATAGCCCAGCACAACCAAAGCTTCAATTTTTGGATAAGCCGATCACTCATTCCATGTCTTTCAAAGATCTTGGGGTCTGGTTCGATTCCAAATGCACCTGGAGATCCCACAGTGAGTATCTGAGACGAAAATGCCAACAAAGGATCAATTTTTTCCTAACAATAACCGGAACGTGGTGGGAGCTCATCCGCAAGATCTTCTAACGTTGTACCGGACAACGATTTTATCGGTTTTAGAGTACGGTAGTTTTTGCTTCCAGTCGGCGGCTGAAACACGTATCATCAAACTGGAACGTATCCAGTATAGTTGTCTTCGTATTGCGATAGGATGCATGCACTCGACTCATACGATGAGTCTTGAAGTGTCGGTGGGCATGTTGCCACTCTTTGATCGGTTTTGGGAATCGTCCCTCAGGCTCCTCACATGTTGTGAAGTTATGAACCCACTGGTAATCGAAAACTTTGAGAAGCTTCTTGAGCTAAACCCTCAAACTCGTTTTATGTCATTATACTACGAGTACATAACACAGGATGTCAGCCATTCACAGCATAATTCCCATCGTGTATGCTTCTCCGACTTCGGCAATTCAGTTAGTTTTGATTTATCTATGACGCAAGAGATTCGTAGAATC